TCTTCTTATGAAGAATCGCATCGTTTTTCATACAAAGCATACATTTATAATACTCATCCATTAGAGAGAAGAAAGAGATAATAAGAACAAAGTATCATATGATGTATGGAATAAGAACAGAAAGAAAAGGATGATATGTTAAATGAGCATAAATCATAAAAATAGAACAAATATCGTTACAATATACATGTTCATGATGTTTCGTTTTGATTTGTGTTTATGATTATGGTATTAATGTTTTAGTTAAATGTATGTTTTATAAATTGATATATTATTTGTTTACAATTAAATTTCCTTCAAATTCCAGATATTTCTCTTGATGATTTTGAAAATAAGTAATAGATTTAAAGACAAGACTGCACAAAATTCCGATCAAAATTGCTAGACTACCATCAATAATACGCTTTTTTGTGTTCACTATTCATGGTTAATAATATGTTGTAATACTGTTTCGAGTGATTTATCTATATGAATAGCAAAAGATACAAGGCAACTAAGAATTGAACACGAAAATTTCTTCGTCTTCTGGTTTCAAACCAAAATGATTACTTACCTATCCTATCGAAAAATATTGATGGAGATGACATAGAAAGAGACAATAACACTTCACCAATCATGATCAACAGGATATTTTGCTGCAGGTACAAGATATGAAATGAATACGAATAATTTTAACTCTCATTCACACTCTTGAATTCGTATGACATCTATCCGAGCTTTTTCACGTATGCACAGAACTGACAAGTAAGCATAAAGTGCTCGGTAGTCACATTCATAAAATGAATCATATAGGTATATACATATTGACAGTAAAGTATATTTGATATATGGTACACATGCAGTCGACATTGGAAGAATTACCCGATGAAATTTTGATGATTATTTTCGGTTATTCGGATGATATCTATTCTTTATTTCAAACATTTCTCGGTTTAAATCAGCGTATAAATAATATTCTTCTTGACAAACGATCACATTTATTCATTAATTTTCTGTGCATAAATATTGATCATGAAACAATGTGTTTCTATTATAATTCATCAGAATTTCAACATATAACACGAATACTAAAGTCGCTAAATGAAACTGTGAATAACAATGAAATTATCCAATCATGTCTAGAATCATTAGTTTGTTTTCATATTCAAAATCGATATATTCAATTAGAGAATGAATTTCAACTAAATCAAAAACATTTTCAAGTCATACGTAAACAAATGACTCATAGTGAAATTCAAAAAATTGATAACGAACTACAACTTGCATGTCAAGAATTAGTAATAACTTCGAATACAATTCATAAAATACATTCACTTATTTATACACGTGGTGCACGTGTCAAATATGATGATCCTCAGATAGATTCATTTGATTTAGCTAGAGCTATTTGTAATCAAATAGTTGTCTACTTTCAATTCCCTTTAAAATATTCTCGAAAACATTTCGATCATCTTATATTTATATTCAAAGGACTCATCATTTCAAATCCAAAACTTTTAAAAAATTCACAGTATCTCAGCTATGGTTTGAATGTACTTCATTGTTTACTTATAACTATATTTAAACGAGCTTTTATTTATACTCAACAATCATGTACAACAAATCTGTATTATTATCAATCACTTATCGATTTAATTTTATTATCAATACGATCTATTTTAAATGAAAATTTGTGGTCAACAAGTTATTTGTACGAAATATTATCACTGATGAAATCGAAGGAACAGTCAATTAGTAATATTATTATTCAAACAACAGAAATGGAACTAATAAAAATTTTACTCAATGAATTGAATTTAGATTTAAATGAATCATGCGACGACGATCCAAATCATTCGTTAGCATACGCTTTGAATCGTTTGATTAAAACTGACCGTATGGATATTGTTCTTATGATGTATCGACACAATAAAACTGTACGAGATCTTTTTCAAAAGACAGATTATATAGAAAAAAATGTTGATATTATGCTTGGAAATCATAAAAGAAAACAATTATTCAATCAATTAATCGATGAAAAACCGTTAAATACATGTTTTACAACGAGAAAATTTTTATTTCAACTATTAGGTAAAAAACAATTTGAAATGGTAAAAAAACTTCTGAAATTATCGATATCAGTTTTAAATGAAATCGATGAAGATGGTAATGATATTTTATTATATTTATGTTTAAAAATTCGTGGTTGTCGGCATCGTTTTATTGAATATTTAATTAAAATTGGTTGTAATACACAAAGGATAAATTATTATGGTCAATCATTTTTTAATGCTATAGAATTGAAACAAAATCAAAAATTATTAAACAAATTATTCGAACATGAAATCATTTTATTTGATAATTTAACGGGAAAAATAATAATTTTGACAAATCTTTTTAAATAAATATAAAGAAAATATATTAGATTTTTTCCAAAGGAATTTAATATCATAGGAATGTTAGATTGTCGTGGTGATATACTCATATCCTCTTTATAACATAGTAATAATCTTATAACACTCATTATATTCAAATAATCAAAAGTTTTTACATCTAGATGCATTTGTATATGTTATCTTTTGCGCATTAGAAATAATATTAAATGAAGTTGCGTAGGTTATCAATCAAAAATTCTAATTTTAGCATAATTAAAGTTTTTTTCATCATTAAAATTAATGATCTACATTATTTAAAAAAATTATATTCCTTTGAAAAATCTTCCGGAACAAGATCAAATAATTAGCATGGAATATGAAAAGTTAACACATGCTATTTCTTAGATTCATTCAGAAATGAAGAAAAGCATAGAATAATATGAAACCGATAATTTTTATCCTATGTAAAGTATAAAAGAACACTGCAGGAGATTTTTGTTAAAATTTTTTTTCTCTATCTCTGTTCATTATCTATTTTACTTATGCGTGTTTTTTTCTCGGATCCTTTATGTTTAACCCAAAATGAATGCTGGGTAATGACATTTATTTACCAGTATCTTTTTTGGTTTCTCTGGTAGAAGATAACAATATCTAATATACTTTTAGCGTCGATGTTTATATCAATACAATGGATATATCCGACAGTAATTCAACAGAATCTTCAGTAATATATGAAACTGAACAGACACGATATCTTAAATTCGGTGTTTTTGCTATTCTTGAACCACCGGCTTTGATTTGTAACTACGTTCTTATTCATTATCTCATTACTGATCGAACATTAAGACATATGCTTCAATATCATGCTATTTTAGCATTACTTATAGTTAGTTTATTAACGAATCTCGTCGAAGTACCACGTATCTTAAATTATTTACGTCTTAATATTGTTCTACCACAAACTAACATAAACTGTTTAATATGGCAATGGTGTGATTATTTACTTTTTAGTGCAATGAATGTTTTAATGCTTTGGACATCCATAGAGCGTCATATATTCATTTTTTATAGCCATCTACATACTACTGCTAAGAATCGTTTATTTTTTCATTATTTACCATTTATAGTAATCATTACTTATCTTGTTCTCTTCTATACTGTAGCAATATTTATTTATCCATGTGAACAACAATTCGATTTTACTCAGCCTTTGTGTGGCTTTCCATGTTATACAACTCATCCAATCATTTCATTCTATGATCTATTTGCTCATACCTACTTTCCACTATTTCTTGATCTATTACTTGACATCATACTGGTCATACGAGTATTTTATCGGAAACGAGTTGGTTTGGGACAACATCGTACACAATGGCGTAAATATTTTAAACTGATTCTTCAACTTTTTCTTATCACAAGTATCTATTTCATCCTTCAATTTCCTTTTGCTATGATGGTACTTCTTCAACTTTTCTTCAGTTTACCAGAATGGTCTATTCGTATACATATTGTCTATTTTTATTATTTCTTTTGGCTACTAACCCTACTCTTACCGTTTTTTTCTATTGGATGTTTGCCGGAAGTCATAAAAAAGATTAAACATTCATTTATCCGACGAATGAAACGAAACAATACAATAGTACCTGTGATTCCAATCAATGGTACTTTGATCGAAAGAAACAATGTTGAACGATAAAAACGCCTAAAAACCATTATTTTAGTGAAAATAAGGGGTGGGTGTGGGTAGTTGTTGATGATGTATGACATGAATACTTACACACACACATCCTATTCTGTCTTACAGTTCACACATTATAATCAGTTCTTCTATGATGTTCTAAAATAAAATAAAATAAAATAAAATTTATTGATGATTTCAGCAAAAAATTCGAATTTTAATCTTTTCTTTTATCCAGTACATCTTGAGGGTGAGTGTGGGTGTTGCATTCTTCTTCTACCAGCCCTCACACTCACATCCTCATCTATACTCTTTTCTCCCACTCCTTGTATATAAAAGTATATCCCCTATTCGACTTACTTAGAACACTACAAGTTTTAGTTAAATTACAGCGCCATCGATATTTTAGATACACTTCATTCGAAAACCGCTGAGTTAAGCATAAGGGGTATTTTTCAATTCCGGATCAATTTTTAGAAGACATTTTTTTCAAGGACATTTAGTCAGAAGATGTTTTCTATGAGACGAAAATTTACAGAACATTTTTTACGAGGACTAAAATTGAGGACATTTCGTCAAGGACATTTCCTTAAGGACATTCCTTGCATCATTCTGATAAAGAAAATGTTTTTCATCCATTACTTAATGATTTCTATGAAAGGAAATTATCTGTCACTGAATAACGGAAAAAGTTTAAGAAATAAAACATATCCGGTAGCAATGAAGATATTGCTACTCGGAAATGAATTTTATATTAACACTTGTCAATTAAGTAAAATAAAAGTATGAAAATGAAAGTGCATCTCATCATGTGATTGCTATCCAGGATAAAAAATAACAATCATATATATATATTAGAAAAACGTGATAACAAATATTTAGTTGGAATGTCTTCTACGACTATGTTTTTCTTATTTTTCTTCGTTCCTACTGTATTAATGTATACAAATACACCTACTGATTATGATCTTTATGGAAGTAAAATCAGTATAAATGATATATTTTTAATCGAGGCTGATAATGTATATCAGGAATGGTATCCTACACTATTTCCATATACAGAGGCTTCCGGCTGCGATCTATATTTTAGTGCAATGACATGTCAATTTGTTTATAGTGTTATTGCCACTCCGTCAAATAATTTATCATTTGTTTACAATTGTATTAATTCTCAAGGAAATAATGTTATAGGTTTTTATGCAAGCAATCAAACTTGTAACTTTCAATTGATAGATGAACGAATTATATCAAATTATTCAACACAAGATAATTTTTTAATTGATTTCAATGGTGATGGTACGGGTATATATGGTATTGCTGATGATTTCATATTTTATTATCAAATATACCCAACTATTGACTTATTTGTTTGGCCAAATACATTGGGTATATCTCCACGAGGAATGCATATTGGTGCAAATCAAGATTATGCTGTTGTTGCTGGATATTGTCAAATATCAACATCAGTTGCAAATGAATGTGGTTTTCTCATTCGATTAAACACATC